CGGCGCTGGTGCCGCAGCTGCCGCACCAGTACGACGCCATCGCATTCAAACAGGAACCTGACATGTAAGTATACTTACACTATTAAGTAAAATCCTATAGCAATCAATAAAACATTTTAAAAAATCGATTTACTTGATATTTCTAGAACTCAGCACCCAGAGTTTCAAAAGACTTGCTCTAAAAATTGGATCCTTTCTTTCTCTTTAATAAACGTTTTGAAATATGGTAGAGGAAATAAACGCTTAAAAAGCTAACGAGAACTATGGTTATTAATAATCTATTAATAATATAACTATCTGTGGATAATAAGTGATTTTATTTGTACAGGAGTCCGGAGCCAAGCTCACGTCTGATGAAGTCTTCCGATATCACCTTGTTATAGTGCCTTATTGTTATTACTATCACAAAACTATACACAAACTATTTCTATTTTATATACATTTTATTAAATAAGTGGAAAGGTTTTTTATATACATTTGATAAAAAGTTTTTATAGATTATATTATGTCAATTGTCTATGGTTGCATAGAAATGAGACAATAATCATTTTTATTTATTACAAATGAACTATACCAATGTCATGGTAATATTACTTTTATGTTAAAAGTGTATATTTCTTACTATTTAATCAAATCAGATTTAGTATATTTTTACTAAATCATGTCATTTTTTTTAAATTAGTCCAACAAACTGAATTTAGAAATCCAGAAAATATTTACTGCTTTTGACTACCATTATGGCCTATTCTATCGTAAATAAATAATAGTTTTGATGACTTTTTTTACATTTTTATTTCACACTTGTTTTTTCTATAATGTTGCCATATTTCTGACATTTCTTGTGTAAAAACAACATGAAATAATTGGTTCATATTAATATTAGAAACCAAAACCAAAATTGTATTTTAATGTTATAATTAGACTAAAGTAATGAGATAATTATTTTAATGTAATATTTGTTATTTTATTGTACTATGTTACCATTAAAGTTAGGTGATGGTTAGGACTTGAATTTAGTTCAGTAGGAATTTTTGTAATTTTTTTAAAAAGGTTGAATTCATTTCAAGTAAAATATTGAATAAATGCTAAATGTTGCTATGTAATGGTACGCAAAAATGATGGGGAAGCTTTTGCCAATTTATATTTTATAATAAAATGCTCAAATTGTTTTTTATATTTACATAGGAGATGGTAATTTGATATCTAGTACTAAAAGAAAGTTTACACTAAGTCTCTTTATGGGGACAAGTACATTTACAAAATAAAATTATGATCCAATTGCCTTCTCTTATGACAATAATTTGTTTAATGTTGTTGGTGTTTATATAGATTATATTTTAGGAGGGAGGTCATCGGTTTCCATTGCCACTACATGTACAAAACATGAGGGGTATTAAAGAAAATACGCTTATTCTTTTTTTAAACCAAATTTTAGTTAATTATTGCAATTTGGTATACTTGATTAAAAATTGGACAGACTTATTTGCTTTTATACCCCTCATATATTGATATTTCTTTTTAACAATGAGAATGAAAGTGATAGCAATATAATACTAAAGCAATTTCGATAGTGGGAACTAAGGTGACGTTCGGTTTAGGAACAATTTAACTTTTAAGACTTACCTGTGCCTTGTCCTGTTACTAAATGTAAATAATCGTTACAATTTGATAGATATATAGAAAATAAATCACTTTATTACAAAATATGTTTTATTGGTAGCATAGATAAATACGTTTTAGTAAATAATTTCTCATGGTTTCTCTTTGACGTCCATATAACCTTTTCTCCTGTCCGCTCTGTTTTTGCAATATAAGAATAGTACAGAGATGGCGGAGACTGCGGACATTGCGAGTAGAGGTATGAATACTGTGAACATAGCCAGCTTGACTGTTTGTCTGTCTTCGCGCACTCCGAAATACAAAGTTTCACTTCCTTATTTATTTTTATATTCCTCGTGTAAAACATCAAAAATTATGACACTTTATAATGACGTTTAGCAAATGTCAAATTTGTTTTTTTATTTTTTCTGCAAGTAAATGGTTGCAGGACGTTAATCCATGAACTACTTTGAAGTTTCAATTCCTTCGGGTTTCTAAGGCTCTAACACGTGTATTTGATATATCCCTCGTTCTTGGTCAAAAAAACAGATATTTTAATAGTTATTCAATATTAATTGGAGAGGGAATTTTTAAAAGAAAACTATGATGTGTAATAAACATTTTTATTAGATTTTATATTTTGAATACAAAACATCTTAAAACTAGATAAAAAAATAGATGTATTTGGTTGACAAAATACTTTTTTCTTTACTGCATTAACACTATTTAATCAATATATACGTAAACGGACAGAAAGTAACAGTTTAAATGCAAATGTTGTGCGTAATTTTTTTTATTCATATTTTATGGCACTCTTAAAAACACGTAGAGCTCTTTCCTCTCGTATTTAGTACATATAACAATTTGATAGTAAAAAAATAACAAATAATTTCTAGGGATTCCAATTTATACGAAACATGCAAAATGTCGGCTTAAACCCTTATGTTAATTGAGTCAAACGTCATAATTAAAGAAAGAAAAATTAAACGTACACAAAAACCTACTTTACATTTCCACTGGTACCACAAAACATATTTACGAGTGTTCAGCCAGTGGAAATGATCTGTAAGAGTGCGTTCAGACAGACCTTTAGAGAAAAGTAGATTTTTAATCGCAAATAAATTTGAACTTTAACTTATAGACACAAGGTTTAATTCTACTTTACACGTCTTTATTACGCATGCGCGATAAATAAGACGAATCTTGTTCTAGTTCTTGTTGAAAGTCTTGTTTTAGTTATTTAACGACCGAGCACCGGAATAACAGTTTTACTACTCATTTAACCTAAATATATTGCTGTAAATATTTCAAAAAATATTAGTAACATTATCAAAAAAACTATATGAACTAATATTACTATAGAAATGTAAATTAATAACACATTTGGTCTCTTAAAACTAAATTGTATTCTATGCAGTTACGTGTAATAAATTGCAAAAAATTAAATATAGACTTACAAAAGTACTAATTAACATAATGTCTAAAATTGCTATTTTTTAACACCGAAACCGACTTTATTGTCTAATTGTCATACTGAAAAAAAAGTTAATATATCCTAAAAAGATTACTTGGAAGAGTAAAAAACGTAAAAAATATAAATTTATTAGACAAATAAGTACAATATAATGTACCAAAATCTATTTCTGTAAATCCAACTATTCATGCAAGAAGACTACATACAGCATTGATGAACCTTAGACTTTTAAAATTTTTAATGGGACAACTGTAAGGCTTTTGGCTTGATTTACGTACTTATGTAAAACTCAGTGTAAACATTTTTTGTTCTTATGTAGATAAGTTTTGTATGATATTTATTGCTACAAATCTTAAATGAATTAGTATAAAGTTATAACTAACCGTCTTCAATTGAACTATTATTTGTACGAATATAACTTCTTTAAAATAGACTAATTGGTAACCTTTTGGAAGTCTGTTAAAAATACACAGTCCTAAATAACTGTAAGGCGGAAAATAACCTAAAATGAAAATTGTCACAAAATAGGCTCCGCGGACCTGCCGTTTCGATCTACAATAAAGTCAAGTACATGCATTGTTAGCCAATAATATGGTGTTATT